TAACTGTACGATATCGCTAGTATAGGTATTAAAGACAGTGTCTGTTTCAGCTACCAGCGGCAAAGGGATTTCTTGCTCCAATAAAGTGTTCTGTTGAAAAGTTAAGAATGTACATATATGTAACATTATATATAGTCATGAATAAATATACATCTAAATTTCAGTATCACAACCGGTCTAATTAATAGGTTTGTCATATTTAGAAGTATTAGAACTTACATAAATCTAGTGACCTCTCTAATACCATTGAAGAATTCACCTCAACCATTTCCATTATCTCTAATAGACTATATAATTTTAACAAAGAAGTTTTTATAATTTCTTATATCATTTCATCATTATCATATCATACTTAACGGAATATTACCTATGAAAACTGCCAGGTTTACTAATATCTACATAAAGTTATTAATAGTTAATTGATTTTACTTTGTGCCAATATATTCATATATGTATCTTATATCTTATATGTATCTTATAAAGATATGTCTTTAAAGTTAATTTTAAAACTATAAAAGTTATATTTACTCTCTCAACGAAAAATTTGTCCAAAAATGTCTTTAAAAACTTTCTGGAACCACTACAAAATGTTTATTATTTTTTTATTGCTCCTTAACAGTTAAAATTACTCAGAATAATAAATTATGCAGTTTTTGTGGTTAAATTGAATATAATGAATTTAACTTCAGCTATTTTGTTGTCTAAAATAATTTAATAAAATTAAGAAGGAAATATTTTTAATTATGCCTGGGGGAAAAATAAAATTCTCAAACTTTTTCAACTCGCAAAAAAACGGACGCCGGAAAGCAATGGTTCGGAGTAGTGGGCGAAATTAAAAGGCTTTAACCACACAACAAAATAAGCCAAGCCATGTGGTGGCCTCTACGCCGTTCAGTGTTAATCAGCGTTGCCGAAAATTTTCACAGCAGAAAAAAAAACACTATAAAAGGACTTCTGAAAATATTTTCATTGAAAAAGTTTTTAATAATATATATTTTAATTGCATTCATATATTTTATTGAAGTTTCAATGATTTTGGACTATTTTGTTATAAATATTAGAAATAATTATTTATTCAAAACAAAGTTGCTAACTTTGGAAAGTTATTTTACACAAAATACAATAAGCTTAATATAAATAAAATTATTATATGGAATATATGTATAGAATTGATGTGTGGGACTTAAAGAGTTAATGATAATGGAACATATGAAACAATAAATTTCTCATAGTATCTCCCACTCAATACATAGTGCTACTTTTTCACGGAACTGTAATCATCTAAACAACCTCGAAAAAGATGATGTAACCCTAATTGGATTCCATGTCCGGATACAACAGATAGTGCAGGTAAGCCAATGTAACTGTACCCAATTCACATAGTTGTATGATTTAAGCGCAGGAGCCCAATTGGAGCTATCAACAGCAGTTCTTATTAAACGGATCACTAGATCTACACTGTACTATGCTAATGACATGATTAGTTAAGCGAAATATACCTAAGAAATAGTAGTCCTATGACCCGCCAGGTGCTATCTTTGAAATATATCTTACATGATCTATTAAAAATGTCTAGGTATTGTAAACTGGAAACTTCAAGTAAAAAAGTAAAAAAATAAAAGGAGATTAATGGCATGGGTCAGGTTAGATGGGAGTGGCGAACTTACATTAACCAAAACGAGTAAAACATTGCTTATACATCAGACCAAGAGGATGACCAAAACAAGAGGATCAAGAGACCAAGACCAAGAAGAAGGGCCAAAATAGTCGGCGCACAAACATTTTCGAAGATAACAGGCACGGCTTCTCCTTAAAAAAGGTGAACTAACCTGACAAGTTTACAAGCTCGGAAATGTTTAGTTCATCCAATGATGATTACCAACTTTAAAATATTTAATAATACTTTTTAAATAGAATATACAACATTGTATAATATTAATAGGATCAGGCAAAGCGGCTGATCTATTTTCTAGACACACTCTTTTGGCAGCGGATTATAGTAGAGTTAACTATTTTGAGCTACATTATATGTTGATTTACTTTATTTCTTGAGTTATTAAGGTTTGACTTTCAAATGCTTTTGCATTACATACATTCGTTATCTACCGCCAACTAGAATATACATATTATACATTGATCACAGAACCAGCTGTTAACACGTCTATAAGGTCGAAGTTTGCTTATTCTAAACATGAGAGTATAGATTAATCCAGTGGTTGATCACTTGTAAATAATCCCAACTTCGTTTTTTAACCAGAAAAATGGAAAATCCAGATTATATAATTAAGAGTGTATAAGATTCAGACATACTGAAGAAAATTTAGAAATTCTAATCGGTAAAGCTAATCCTTTCTTCATGAGGATGAAGAAGGTTTTCATACAGATAACAGAATTGAACAAAAAAGATATATAATCTGGCAGATAATTTCAGAGTTTTTTTTTTTAATATGATTTCCGGCATATGTAAGGCGCGGCTACGATCAGTCCAATTTTTGACTATTTTTTAAAATAAATGTGGCCTTAAGGTGTTAATGGTGGCATGGCCATTAGCTTTTAATGCTTTACGAGTTGCTGGTTTGTCAACATAAACCAAAGATTTAACATAACCCAATATAATAAAGTACAACCAATAAAATGGATGTAATGGCGATTCATTAATTGCTTAAGAATTATTTTCGCTTCATATACGGCAATTTTGTTTATTGACATAACCATAAAAGGTGATTCTTATGCAGTATATTTATATATAATTTAGTTAAAAAAATTGTTCGCAATAGTTGACTTTAATAAAATGCGTTGTCAAATAAGCGTGCCCTGAAAATCGAAGACATGAGGACCCAATAGTTCTTTCTGCATTATACACTCATACACATACTAAATAGACACGTTTTTTCGTATAAGTCACGATGTATCTAATTACTGTCTTGTAAACTATAATACAATTATTCAACCATTGAAAGTATTTTAATGTAATTTGGTTGTAAAAATATTACAATCTAAGCCAGTAGTTATTTCTTATCATCAGTCTTATATGTTATATGTATTATAAATTTATTGCTGACTTCAGTATAAAATATCAATAAAATCAATAAACATTAAAACCGTAAGTTTTAAAATACAACTCAGTGTATATAATGCCTGTTATCCTCATGGATTGAATTTTCTAATTAAAAGTCATCAATAATGCATTTCGATTGTTGTTGCACCAATTGCAGCGTACTGCATCAGACTGCATCGAACGGCACATTTGGTGCAACAACTGTTGCATGCTCGCATTACAATAGAAATCCGATGAGCAAGTTTCCGTATGCGGTAGAATCGCTGCACGGCACATGCCTCAAATACATAAAATCACATAAAATTTCACTTACAGCACAAAGTGCATTTTCATTTGGAATTCTGCATTTTTATTTTCAATCCATAAGCAAAAACAAATATTTTGTTGGGGAGCGGAATAGAATTCTGTTTTAAATATGAGTGCTTAAACTTCTGTTTCTTATCAAATATTTTCCTCTTTCACAGTTGCCTATGACTGGGCAATGTGTGCACTCGTACGTGCCGTAGATACTTTAAAATCTCAAATTTAATTTGCTTTAAATTACCTTCTGTGCATGCATTTATGCTGCTCGGAAGCCAACAAATCTGAGTTTAGTTTATTTTCCATTAATAAAAATATTTCTAATTTGAAATCATAATTTTCAAAATCTCTTTTTTTTTCTATTTCACATAAGAGGTACCTACCAACACGTGTGGAACTTTGATCTACCGGAAAATATATTATCGAAGCCATCATAAAACTAATAGCGCACATTTTATGGGGTAACAGAATTCCAATGATTTAAATTGATATTTTATGTTCTCGTTTTTTTTGCTATCAATTTCAATTAAAAATTTAATATTCTATTTGAGTACACTTCAGCAATTAAATATTCTCTTTTTTGGGGTTATTATAAATCAAATATTTTCATATGGAATATTCAGATTATAAGCAATCTTCTATCGATGAGCAGAAATGTATGTGCTTCATGTCGCCACTAGAGCATAGGAATTGACAAATTAAAAAATGATATGAATTTCATGCTGTGTGGATAAATTTATTGTTAAGTTAATCTAGTTGCGATTATCGGAAAATGAATCATTAAACTTCGATAGAGTTTAAAACAATAGTGTTAATGTTATTAGAACAGACAATGGCACATAGCCATCAGTGAGGTCTTTTCTGCTGTTCTTGGAGAAAATCTGCAGAGCTAACCTACACAAATCTAAGCTATTTAAAAACTAAACTTCACCATGAGGTTCAGGATTTCAGGAATCTTATTCGTTTCAAAGAAAACCAGATGAGGGAAATCAATCTATTTCCTGACAATCACACTATAGTTATTGTGTGTGGCACATAGCCATCAGTGAGGTCTTTTCTGCTGTACTTGGAGAATATCTGCAGAGCTAACCTACACAAATCTAAGCTGTTTAAAAACTAAACTTCACCATGAGGTTCAGGATTTCAGGAACCTTATTCGTTTCAAAGAAAACTAGATGAAGGATATCAATCCATTTTCTGACAATCACACCATAGTTATTGTGTGAGGAGCTTTCGCAAGGCTACGAAATATTCGCACAAACACAAAATAAAAATTTTTAATGCATGCGTTAAGTAAGTCTTCTCATACGGATCAGAGACTTGGCTTGTAACGGACGAGACTGATAAGACACTACAAACTTTCATCAACCACTGCTTGCGAAACATAATGAAGATATGGTGGCCAAGAACGATATCAAATGAAGAACTCTGAAGACAAACTGGCCACACGTCTATTAAAGTTGAAATTCAGGAGCGAAAATATAGGTGGATACAACATACCCTTCGTAAGCCTTATGAAGATATAGCATGGAATCACCAAGAAACCCGGCGTAGAGACCGGGTGAACGCTTTAAAATAATTTATATGGTAGTAGTATGAATATTACTGAATCTGATTTATTTTAAAAAATATATAAAACCTCTATATCGATCTATTGTATAATAAGAAATACTTATTTAGTACGGAGATACTGCTACCCTGTATGCAGTTGGCTCATTCTTACTTAAAACCAGTATAGCGGGCAAACCAAGAAGTCGGCTTCTGAGGTTTAACCATATAAAATACTTGACTTTCACCACGTTTACGGTGGGTTGACATTGAACGCATGGTAAGTAAAAATTCCACTGTCATGTTTTCATCTGGCAAAATTGGAAATGGTTCATTATTCTTTTCTTGATATTGCTCTACCATTTAATGATTAAAAAAATATTTGATATAGGTGATTATGCTATATATTATGATACAAAGCATTTAGTTACCTCGAAATTCCTTTAAAGTCAAACCTTTAGCTGGTGTTGTATGCCCCTGGAATGTTTTCTCCGTTTTCTTATAAATTTGAGGATGATGCTCAGTAATTTTGATTAGATTCTGAATAATGTGACTCATTTTGAGGTTTTTGATAAAATGAATTTTTAATCACTTTTGTATACTTTCTTCAAATTTTGATGTTTTTATTCCCTTACATTTAAAAATAATGCTTATACAATTATGTTGATATTTAAAATGAAATGAAAAAATTAATTTTTCAATGCTATCTTGTTAATTCTTAATAAAATTGTATTAAATCTATTCAAGATTTCGTAAGATCTTTTAAAAAATGTTTAGAAACAACTAGTGATCCTATATATAGCATCCTTGTCATCACATCACATTATAATTATATCTCATAATGTATTTCAAAAACGTCTTCGGCAAAAATAATTGAATTCGTATTACTAGATATATAGGTATCACCACAATAAACCGTGTATATTTTTCAATATCATCTAATATTTATTGGTTTATTGATACAAACCAGTGAACCGATCTCTTTATTTACCAGTATGTCTCTCTATTCAAGTATGTTTTTGTTTTCAATAATTATTTAATATTCTATAATTAAGTATACCTGAGTTCCTCTCATTTTACCATGACCAAAAATCTATCACAGAAGAAATAACACCTCTTGTACGTTTAATATTAATTGTAAGTCCTTCAAAACAGACAGTTGCTTGATAAGAAGATGCACGACTAATTGACTGTTCTAAATAGAGACTTCAGTCGTTATTTATAAATACGACGGCGTAGAATATAAACTATGGGAAATTTTTTATACCGCTATTTGTTTTAATCTCGAGAAGCTCCATTCTTTTCGCATATTTCTACCTTTGAAAATTTGTGAAGTTGGATGCAGTTGACTTATAACTGACATATGCTACGCATATTTACCAGTAGATACCAAAAAACAAACACTCTTAAACATCAACTACTCTCTAATATCAACATTTACAGAACTATATTAAATTATATGAGAATACAACAAATGAATTTCTGAAGGAAGTTTTACAACAAATTAATAAAACTACAAATTCGAACATACAAGTCAACTACGACTTTGGGTAAGTCGATTAATAAACACTGACTCTGAGCTTTGAATTTGACAGGATACCAGTTCAACGTTTGGTACTTGCAGTCTCAAAAAATTATTGAAGAATAATTAAATATAAGAAATAATTCCAAACCACTGATCAATCAATCGAAAATTCAATAAATTAAAAAATAAAAAAATTTTTGTTGTTACAATTTACTACTGTTCGAAAAACCTCTTTATGGTATGCAGACTTTATTCAAAATGTTTTTAATACTCAAACACCTGAATTTACTTAATGAAATCGGACGAGTAATTACGGTTACGAACACCACACCTAACTTCCACTAAATTTCATTGACTAAGTATAACTTCAACTAGCAGTATATAAGCCACATATTCATCGGCCAGTCTTTAGCCTGGTCAGATGGAGCTGAACAGCTACAAAAGTTTTTAGTAGGCATCATATAAGATAACAACGCTTACGACACCGCTTGATAATTTACATTCAACACTATTTTTTATGCATAAATATGGTATGAAAATTACTTTAAAAACCGCATAAATTAAAATTTCAACTTATATGTTTAAAAAATAAACCTTTTACTTTTAAGATAATTAACCACATTGGAATGCATGCATGAAACAGAATTCCATTATCAAGTGCACTCTGGAATAAAATCAAATGAATTTAATTGAAAGCATTGGGCGCATAAGGACATTCGCTGCACACATGATCCATGGTAATATTAAACGAAAAAAATACCTTGGCATATCATTTCTTATATGCGGCAAATAACCTCAGTTCATTTTCTCTGTTTTTTAATCAAAAAATATTTGCAGACAAAGGAAATTGAAATGTGGAACGATGCATCCTTGCAACTATTTTTTCCACCTTGAAATTGTTTGTGTCTCGAAACTGATACGTAAAAGCGATGACAGTGGCTTGTACATCGGATCTTGAAGCGTTGTTTACATCAAAGCATGAAATAACAGCAACAAAAGAGTACGTAAGTTGCTATGCGAAACTGATTGTCAACAACACAGGATTTTTGGGCCTGTACGCGATGCCTTATTGACTGTGTGACTGTGTGACTGAGGAGCTGAGGAACTGAGGAACTGGGGAACTGACTAAGTGAAGCGTTTGTGAAAGTCACTATTAGTGTGCAGCGCTTTTGTGTTGATTTTAAGCATTCAAAAGCATATTCTTGACTGAAGCACGTATTCATTTCTGTATGCAGACTGACATAGGCTCACATCAATACCATATCTGGATAAAGGGAACGAATACATGAGCTACCTATGGTGGCTGTGACGTTATTGTGTAAGTTTTTTTAACCTTCTTTTTCATTTAGGTGAGGTATTTGCAATTTGCATCGTTATAACGAAACATGGGCTTTCCAAAAGAGAACTTACATGCGAATCCTTTGATAATTTCTGAAATTCAAGGCAGTACAAATTTATAGTGATTAAATTCTTCTACTTTTATACAATGAAACGTCTTTCCTTTCAACTTTATTTGTCTACTGACATACGTTTATTGTTAAAATTTAATTTAGAATAAAATTGAAAATTATATTTGAAAGATGTAATTAGATCTCTTTAGCAGCTAGATATATTTCTTTTTAGTGCTAAAAGAAATATAAATATGAAACTAATATACAATATATTATAACATATAACAGGCATTATATGAATTGTGGTTTTCTATGAAATGCTTTTTCTATGACTAATTCAGTTTTGGAAAAAATACGTGTAAGCCCTAACCCTATTTCAAAAACTTTATAAAACCAACGTTTTTAATTATAACTTTTCGAACGATTTTTGAGTTTAAAAAAATTTACGTTCTCCAAAAATTTAAATTGCACCACGATGTGAATTACTAGGTCATTAAGGCCATTCCGACTGGTATTATGAAATAGTCTGTGTTTGGAGTCTTTATAGTTTTTATTAGTAGTTTTTACAAAACCGTGTGTGGTTCGCACTTTTTGCGAAGAATATAAATCTACCTAGAGTTATAAGTGGCGATTTGTCGTCGATAACGAATGACTTCGGAATGTTTATCGGGCCTTTACTAGAACTATATCTATTTGGTCTTTAAGTTCACAATTTATGGTCTAAGAATGCCACGCTTTTCTCAAATAGTTGGCGCGACTTGTCAGTGTCCAACTCATCTCGGTATCTGGACACTGAGACATCTCGTACAATTGCAGAGTGGATGAGCATACACACTGCTCTCTGAAATTTATGCCATTTATATTGATATCATATTTGTAATGGCTAAACTTATCATTAAACAAAAATATTTAGCAATGTATTACATAATCGGCATAGGTGTAGATACTTTTCAGACTTTAAAGAATACTTGGTTCAATTTAAACAAGAAGCTTATACTCATTACTACGATATCGATACTACGGTTTTGGTACTGATAGATATCTACTCAGTACTGATATGTAAAAACCGATATTGACATTGGGAAAAAACTTTGTTCACCTCATCACGACTTTTGTCGTGGCTTCAACTCTAGAGAGGAGGAAAGATGCTAACACATCATTGGCCAGCAGAAGATTTACTGCAGAATATCTTTGAAACTGCTTTCTAAACAACATTACAAAGGTTTAATTTTTTTTAAATTAGAAATATTGGCAAGTTTGTATACTTGTCAGGTTGATTTACTTTTACCTATATGGAACAGTAGTGCCTGTTCTTTTCAAAGTTAGTCATGCAACGACTACTTCAATTTTTATAACTCTTCTGGTGGTCTTCTGAGATCTGTCACATAAGTAGCTCTTTTATTAAAGTATTGTGCAATTACCTATGTTCAAGTAGAGTTTGGTGTACGGGGCTATCACTCCAATCTAACCTAACCATAACAATGAAAAGCATGGTTTTCTTCTGCTTATATAAACAACTTTTAATCCATTTTTATAAGATTATGAAAACTAACATGACTGACTTTAAAACGATATTACTTAAAAGGCAATATGAAATTGAACTATATGGATTATATATATATAGATCATATATATATATAGATTATATATATATAGATTATTTACACATA